AGTTTAAATGGGCCTTTCATGTTATATCATTAAATTTAGTAATACTATTTCTCGGGCATTAGGTTTTAACTCTTATAAGAATATACATATTTTTTTCTGTTAATGTACAAATATTTTTCCGATGTGTTTTGGATATTCCTTCTCTAATAAAAAGAGATACCATTTTGTTTTCGGTTGTACAAGAAAGAAGATCAAGCATTTTTCTTTTTTAAATTTAATAAGCCACATTAAAGAAGGAACGTTGCAATGCTACAGGCTACATTAACGACGTCTCCAGAGTAACTGAATGACGGTTCATATGGAAATCGCAGGTAAGCGTCTCATACAACAACGCCCCCTATAGTTCGTTGCGATCGCGAATGGTTAATATTAAATATTTATACTGGTATGAAAGTTTATATAACACTGTTTTATGTAATTTTCATGCTAAAAATATATTTGTATGTTTCTTTTCATGATATCAAAATTATTCATTAAATTTGATACATTTGACTAAATACAAGATTCATAAATTTTGTTTTCAGGAATTAAATTTCTGTTTTATTAATATGCATTTTTGGCTGAAACTTAAAAGATTAATAAAAGGACGTTATTTTGGTTTATTGTGACGCAGTTCTGATAGCTTTGTGTCACTCTTAAGAGCTTGCCTTGAAAGCTTGTGTCATTCTTAAAGTTTTGTGTCACTTTCAGACTCAGAAGTTATCAAAAAAAAAACTTTCCTTACAAGAACTCATAAATTCAGTTTCAACCTTAGAATTTTCACCGCATATAAATTACGCTTGCTATATTACTTTTTTGTCTTTTAAGAGTCTGAGAATCCTGGATCACTGTACATAATTGTACATATAAACTTTAAAGTTCATTTTTAAACTTAAAAAGGAGCACAGGAAATTAAATAGGATATCATATCCTCAATAAAAGACGTTATATTTCACAAAAAACGGTGCCCTTCTTTAGGAACCTATACTATTCAAGCCTGTTAAAACTAATCACTGCAATAAATTAGCACCTTTTACGAATCAAACTTAAAAATTTCGAAATCCTCGCCTTTTGAAAAGTTTGCGTATTGAAATAATGTTGTATTGTAATAAATGTATTAAAATCATTGGGATTTTGATATCCATGTCGAAAATAGTAGTAATAAATGTGAAAAAGGAGATCTATAAAACCCGCTTGAAATTATACCCTACTCAAATCGAGCAATCCAAAATTTATTGCTCTAATTCATCGGTAGTAAAAATATCACACTTTAAGTATCGAAATTTTAAAAATTATGTAGAAATAGCCGAAAAAAGTAGGATAACAGTAAATTGCAGCGGGAAAAATAGATTGGAAAATGAAGTTGATTGACGATGGCATAGTAGCGTCAATGGCTCTTTAAAAAAGGATTATTCAAAATTTCAAATTTTTGTGTAATATAATTGTATCAAAAATATTGTTATTTGAGAAATCAGAAAAGAATTGTAAAAACGAAAAATAGCTGCCGAGTAAACAGTCGAAAATCGACGTGGATTAACTATTCAATCAAGTCTGAACAAGTCAAAAAGTGATTGATCAAATTCGAAACGCGGCTTCAGTAATAACATCGTGATAAAAATTGGAACTTGAAAAACTATGTAGAAACAAAAAACTATGGCAAAAAAAATTATCGAAAAACGATGTGGGTTTAAAAGGGATTTGTAGCCGAGTGAAAGGATCAAAAAGTGATTAGTTCAAAATTCGTGTTTCTTAATAACCTTTTAATTAAATACCGGAATTTTAAGTACCGAATTCTAGCCAATATAAGCGATAAATACCTATTAAATTTCTATTAAATGAATGGGGAGTTCAAGTTGCTCTTGAATCCTTTTTTGTCAGTATGCGAATTAACAAAACTCGTCATAAGTAGATACCAGTACTTCTTTCAAATCCATATTTAAATATTTATAAAATTTCTATTTAAGTACGTAAGCGAAGCTAGTTAAAGTGTAATATTAGCCTTTAAAACAAAATGTTACTAATATATATATGATTTATTGTAGAAATGATTCAATTAAAAATTTGTATTTTTGACTAAAATGGCTTGTTTAACAAGCAAATTCTTTGTGTTTATTTTATAAACTATATTACAGCATCAAAACGATTCAAATAGTGCTAGACTTAACAAATGTTGTGTTATTTATTTTAAAATTATAGCCATTAAATAAGTGCGGCGCACTACCTTATGTTTTATACTACAATAACACAAAATGTGTTGCTATCTAAGAAACGTAAACATGTTTATATTCAAACTAAAAGTTTTATCTGCCTACTTCTAATTTATGTTAAAAAAGATTTCCCCGTAAATACAAAGTTCATAGAGCGACTAAAATTCAAAATTTTAATAGAAGTGAGTTAACCCTTTAACGGGCCCTTTATTTCTAGTAAAGGTAAATTAAAGTATTTTTGGAATTGAAATTGTTTTAAGAACAGTAACTGATATATAAAAAATGCTCATTTAGTTTATAAAAATGCCATTTTTTTGGTGATAAATATATTTAACATGGCCTATTAGGAACTTACTGACTTTTATTTTTCTTTATTTATAAAATAAATTCCTTAAATGCTACAAACTTCAAAAAGAATTATGTATTTTATAACTTTTATACGTTTTTTAAAAGTGAGAAACGGTAACCAATTTTATTCAAACTCACTTCAAGAAAGCTGAAGTTATTGAAAAATGGAAACCTAAATTAAAAGTGGTAAAACGCGGTAATAATTCAATGACTTAAGTAATACTCCACTTTATTATTGTTAAGCATGTTGAGTTTTGTAAAATATTGGCAGGCAAATTTTAGTTTGAGTTCAGAGCAATTTGCACTGATGGAAACTGTTGGTTTAAACTTGTGGTTAGTTATAGTGGTAGTTATGATTGTATAATTAAGAAAACTTTTTATATTTATAGTCGCCTGTGCCAAGCAAATACAATAATTGAAATACAAATGTTTTTATTAACACGTTGAATGCCGGGGGGTCGCCGGTGAATGGCACTGAGTTTGTTCGTAGCACCACGGGAGTCTCCGGTGACCGGCCAAGCCTAGATTATTAGAAACACATAATTCGAGTAAATTTTTAATGCTTTTAATTTTTTTAAATTATTATCGTTACTAAAATGGTTTGAAGAAATTAATGCAATATAGAACACACAAAAATAGTTTTATTTATATACACAGAGATGCCAACTTGCTCTGGACAGCGAAAAAATATTTTCAAGGGGTAGTTAATTAATTGTGATTCTTGGTTTAATAAATTCAGTTTAGTTGATTTTTATTCACCACTATTTCTAAATGATTCATAGGCTTATGTAATCCACCACTTTTTTGATGTATGTAATGCGATCACAAAATACCAACTCTATCACAGCATATATACAAGCTAAATGCAGATTTTTTCGATAAAGCAATAGAATGTAAAACAGCAAATTTTAATGAAATCTTTAAATTTGAAAATTATATCAAAGATAAAAACTACAGACCAATAGCTGCACATTTCACCTCCGACGCCTCATATCATAACTATCAAAACAAATAATTTCATCAACTTTTCTGAAAATAACGTTTACTCATGCTGATACAATTCTGAACAACTCCAAAATCAAACAAACACAGTTTAGAGCAAGCTGCTCAATTTATTTTTGATTCCTTTTTAGTTATTCAAGCAAAGAGCTTGAAACATTCATAAAAGCAACTCCATTGCCTGCTCACATCATTGCTCAACCAAAACTGTTATAAAATTCCAGATGAATGGGAAAGGGGCCGCTTCGCGGCCCAGGTGCCCAATAAAATCAAAACACTAGGACTAAGATGTATGTAATGCTAAACCTTTTAAAAAACTGGCAAAAGCTGTCAAATATTTGCAAATTTAGTATGAAGTTATTTACCGTTTAGCCAGACGGGCAAGCCATGTAAAATTAGCTTGGTATTCAACGTGTTAAGCAATACTAATGTATTACTCAGTTACTTATAACTACCTTTTATAAAATTGTTCGCTGACGTGCACGTAAAAGAATCTCATGTTATAATTTTCCCACAGTAATTGTTTGTCTGAGGGAAATATGAGGAAAAGTCGTATACTAAATGAAGTCAAAAGAAATTGTTTTTTCGGGATACGTGATAGCTGTGCACTAAATGAAGTCTGAAAAAATAATTTGAACGGCATGCATGAGCGAAAGTATTAAATGTGTGCTTACATTTGAACGTCTCTTTTAGGGTCTAAAAGAAATGGGGGCCCACCATTGGGTCCTTGGGCCCATCATCACTTTAATGTTAGCAGTAGCAGCAGCAAGGCCACCTAAATGTGAACAGCCTCCTTTATGGTCCATCGATGGCCGTCAACCATTGGTGGAATCTAAAGGAAACGTGACTGTACTTGCATTGCTACAAGCTTCTTGACAGTTCTGTCTGCTGCAGGCTCGAAGGTAAGTTTTCCATTACTATATATATAATACAAAACAGTATTCTTTATACAGAAGGCAGTAGTATTTTAGCTCATACGTACAGTGCGTAAAATAAGAAATGGACCAAGGTAGAAAACAGGAAAAAAATTTAATTTTTGATGCAATGATCCAATCTTCACGTGCTAGTACTCAATGTTAATGGTTCGAGGGGAAGTAGGCTAATCAATTAGAGGAGACGATATTTTAAATTACGAAATCAGACACAAAAACGTATTTTCTCTGAATATGCCTTTCTTTTTTCTACGGATTCGGATTTCCGTTACCTTCAAAATATAGAGGTAGCCGCAATCTGGGAAATGGTGTCAATAGTTTAGACAGGAAAGCGGTCCAAAGTTTGAAACCATTAAAGCTAATATTACTTTTTGCATATTTCACCATATCTCGCTAACTTTTCAAGTTAATTGGGGGAAAAAATCCACACAGTTATGAAATTCCTTTATTTATAGATAGTTCCATACAAAATGTAACTTTTAGTATATACTTATTATTTTCTAATTTAATAATAGTCGAACAAATTTTGAAGTATAAGATATAAATTTTTTTGCATCTTTTTAAAGAATGTAATTTTATATAAATGGAAATATGCAAAATTTGAGCGAAATCGGTCAATTAAATCGGGCTGAGAGATCGAATTTAAAAATACGACTTTTACAATGTTAAACGAACGAAAGAACGGTATTTTTGGTCAAAGAAAGTTTCGCTTTTGTGTCTGATTTCGTAACTTAAACTTTAAGTAACTTTTACTTTAATAAAGTATCGCTAAACTAATTAATTAGCATATTTGAGGCCACCCCTTCAAACCATTACGATTGAGCCCTAGAACATTAAAATCCTATTATTTGATCGTAAATTATTCAGTGTCCGTTAATTTTTTGAGTTGTTAAAAAAAGCTTCCTTTTTCAAAAAAAAAGAAAAGAAATGTGAAAGCACAAGTATTTTTTTATTAAACTCTATTTTGCAGAAACGAGAAACTTATGTGTATGTGTTGACTACTATAATACATTAATAATATAAATATTTAGATTTAAAGTGAAAACACACACAGTTTATGTTTTAAAGCTAAAGTTCATAGTTACAGTAAGAAATCATGTAAACAACTGTGATAATATATATGTATATAAAAAAGTATGTATATAACAAAGTGATAATATATATTTGTTTACACCATGTAAACAAATATATATTATCACTTCTACAAATAGATGTTTATAGCTCAATTTTGGCTGCTTGGTATTAATGGCTTATGTTTGAGATAGACCGAAATTGTTTTTATTTAGGTTTTAAAAGAATCAGACAAAAGTACTTATAAAAATGTTTTATAAATTTATTAAACTTCAAATTACCTATAATTATTATAACCACGGTTTATCCTTTAAGCCTTAAGAATGAGTGTTTTGTTGCCTATACAAAGAATGAGTAGAATTAATAATTATAGAAAAATGATGTATTTCATCCCTTTTCTTAATATGAATTGTAATTACTATTTTAATACGAATTTAATATTAATATATTTTCAAATCTCACAAAGTTCGTAGGGTCATAAAAAATTTTTAAAAAATGGTACTAAAATTAAGAAAATAAATTGTACTCCAAGTTTGTGTTCACCACTATACTTAAATTCACAACTAAACTAATTATGAAGTAAAGAATCTTTAAAGTGAAAGCTAATTAAAAAATTGAACTTCTTTATTAGAATATCAAAATAACTTTTTCAAATTTTTAAAGGACAGCATAAATCTCAATCTTAGCAATAAAGTGTTTTCAGTAAAAAAATTCCATTCGATAATTAAATATTAAATTAGAAGCTATGTGCATACTTGCAAAATATTTCGTGTTTTGGGAGATGGTTTTCACAAATCGCAGTAAAAGTAAAATGAAAATTGAATTACAGTCAAAAGTAGAAAAATATTTTTATTTTATACAAGCTTAAACAGAATTCGTATGGTCTTGAAAAAATTTAATTAAAAATTCTGCGAAATCGTATGATTGTCATGTTTTTTATATGAATGTTTTAATTTGTTTATATATTATGGGTCAGAATAATTTTAAATTAAATTTATTAATCGTAGAAATAGATAGAAAGTATACACAAGAATGTCATAGGTGACAAAAAATGTCAAAAGTGGTAGAAACTAAATTCATTTTTATTTATTTATTATCTATTTATTTATTATCTCTTAATCATAAATAACACTATGAGTAGCATTTCAATTTATTCATACTTAAATCAAAAACATATTTCGCATTCACTTTCGGTGATGCCACAAAGAACTAAAATTGTAAGAAGTGCTGGAAACTACATTAATTTTTGTATATTTATTATCTCTTTTTTATTATTTAATCGAAACTACCACTTTTTACTTACGTTTTAAATCATTCATATTTAAATGAAAAACATCCATCAAATCAATAACGACAGTACAACACGCACCTACGGGCTCTGCTGTATGAAGAAGGAGTGGAGTGGTCGCTTCGCGGACATCGATTTCAAGTAGCAAGATAGTAATGATTTTTCGAGAAAGATAAGATATTTTTTACGATTAATGTTGAATTATTTGGAGAAAAATTGATAAATTTACTCATCCCGTGGCAACTCGGCACACATTTTACTACGACTTCCACTTACGATGCCAACTTGCTCCGGACAGCAAATAAATATTTAAAGTGGTAGTTTATCAATTCAATTTACTAGATTTTTATCCACCACTATTTCTAAATAATTCGGAGGCTTATATAATTCCCCACTTCTTAGTAGCTATGTTATGCTATACATCTTGAAAAGCAAGCAAAAATAGTCAGATATTTACAACATTTAGTTTATTGTTTAGTTACTTACCGTTTTTTGTAAAAATTATTTTGACGTGTCTGGAGCTGTTGGCATCTCTGCAACTTTAAACAGGGATGCTAATTTTTTACGTTTTCTAAATAAGTTTATTCTAGTAGTACCTAAGTTTATGTTTTAATATATTATTTTTTATTCCTTAGAACTTATTTTTTCCATACCACTACATATAAATAATTTAAAAGTTCATATGGAACGCCACTTCTTTCTCTCTCATTCGTGGTAAGGTTATTAAAATGTTAACAAAATCCTCCAAACATTCTGAAATCTTTGGTGTTTAGATATCTACCACTCTATAAAATATTTTGCAAAAAGCGTAGAAGTTGGCAGGCTTGCCTTAAATGTAAAAATAGAATTTTAAGCAAATTGTGTCAAAGTTTTGAGCTATAATTTATACCATATATTACTGGATAACCCGGTGAGCAGGTGCTTTCTGTAATATAAAAGTTAAGAATGAAACAATTACACTATTTTCCGTTGCAAATTAAGAAAAGACCATTGCAGTATAGGATTTAAGTAATTATACTCTCAATAATGGTGATACCCCTTTCTTTGAGGACCGTCCATAATAAGAGGTGGTCTATAATCATCACCTCATTGTCTCAACATGGGGCACAAGCAGGTTGTGGAAGAACGTGAGGCGATAAAGTGGCAAATGTGCAAAGTCGTCCTTCGAAGAGTCGCAAATGTCGATACCAATCCGAGGGATTATGCATAGTTCGACTCTTGAGCTTTTCCCTCTATGATTCAAACATCACAAATCAAAGCAAATCAACACATGTGAATCAAACACATATTTACAAGATCTGTTCGTTAGACAGTTAAGTATTTCAAGTTTGGACGTAGTATTATAGAAAAGTAATACTTAACTGAATTATTATTATTTTATATCTACTTTATGAAATGTGCAAGCAATAAAATTAAATAAAACAATATACATACTTTAGTCGCAGATATGTGTGTCACATATCGAATCTATTTTGTTGAATTGTTTTAATATTTTATGTGTATTTGCCAGATTAAAACGAATACATTAAATTTGTTATTCCAAATTTGTTTCATAGCCTCGAGTTCTTGCAGCGACACTTTAGTAACCACGGTATGGATGACATCAATTTCATGATTGTGAACTCAAATCTGCAGCATGCAGTTTTGCTTAGAAGAGAACTGGAGAATCGTGTTTCCTTCGACGTTTTCCAAGACAACCATGAAGTTAATGTTTGGAACAAAATGGAAGGTGGAAAGGACGACGTCTACATCTACGACAGGTGTGGTTCCCATTCTCTGCAGAATAACATGTTTTGAATTATTTTGGTTTTTAGACTTTATACCTAGTATATGCCTAAAACCCGAATTCGTAATTTAGTAAAACAGTGTTAGGCAAAAGGTTCTAAAGCAAAGCCATTGACTGCATTTTTTCTATGATTCTTAATTTTATAACTTTTGTTAATTTAACGAGATATTATTCTTTTAAATTATTAAAGACTTATTCATTGCTTCGTTCTTTAAACGATTCTCAACATAATGAAAAATTGGATAATTTATGCAGATTATTGAGAATTTTTTTCCGAATTTAACTGCGTCTAGTAATTGAGAGAAAAATTAATCAGAGAAAAAATACACTTTCACTTTTAAAACATGCTCTTGACAATATACCTGCACACTAAATCTTCGAAGTATTCTCATTATATTTCTAATAATTTTCTCTATAAATTAAACCTAAAGAGCAGAGAAGTCAAGAAATGACTATAGCAATTAAAATGCAAATAATTACTCAATATTTTTTCAATAACTTTTTATTAAAAAATAAATTTTAATTATGGGAAACAACTTGACATAATTTGTAATGATCTGTTCTTGAAAGGTAAATACATTTATTTAACAGGGGCAATATGGAAAAGTCTTAGTTTCAATATCAATAGACTGTAACCACTATGTTATCTTAACTGGATTCGTAGCTCTAAGCAACATTATGCATTTGTCAAAATTCTAATCTTAAGTTATTAAGGAACAAAATACTGGACTGCTTTTAAGTAAAGTTTCCTAAGCTAGTAAGTAAAATTCCCATAAGGAATATATTTTGAACCACAATTCATTCTGAGCGTATAACTTAGCTTGATTGAATTTTTGACATCAACATTTACTGTCCAGAATTCACAGCACTAGCTCTAACTCTAAATTCGAAACTCCAATCCTATGTGCCGGATTATGAGCTTTTGATGAAAAAACTTAGCAAGGTTACTATACACTAAGCATATGCGCATATGAAACGATTTTTTTGCTATTGTAAAAACTCGGTAAAGTGCTGGATACATTGTTTAAGATTGATATTTTTTGATATTTTCAAAAATATTAAATTCGTTTATGATTGCAGGTGTGGTAGGTTAGCATATTTCATTCCTTACCCACTGAGTGTTATGGCTTCTGCTGATAGCCTAGTACCAAAGGCAATTATAGCTACATACCTTCGAAGTCCATGTGGCGACACTTGTGAAGGAAATAGCTCTTTTGCAGACAATGAAGTTATAGACCCTTCAAACAATGTAAGTAAAACCATGTTTTGGTTTTTTTATGCATTTTCTTTAAATTTCAATAATTTAAAACAGGAAAAATGCCTCAACAATTGCATCTGAAAATGTTCTCTTTTCAAATAAGCATGGAAGATTACTCAGATTACGTTTAAATCAGAAATTGTAATTGTTTGTTATTTTAAATTGCTCTTTATACAGCACATCAAATTCAGCTCATTAACGTCTATAAAATAACCACCATTTCATGACATTACACATCTTAAAAGAATTCAAGCCTCCTTTTGAGTTTGAAAACAATCAAAATCTCATGTAGGGTTCAGTTTCATAACGTCTTAACTTATTATCTATATTTTCCATATATGGTATTGTCCATTTCTTTTTCATCAGATTCACAACGTCCATTTACGGTGTTTGCGGTCTGGATAAAATTTGTAATTCTTTCCATTCTCTTCAAAAATTCAGTACCTGGTAAAACATTTCGTCTACTTCGGATTGCAGGATGAAAGGTCAAGCACATAAAATGTGTAAAATGACTGCGACTGAGCGAACATCAAAATAATTAACATTTTATAAAAGAGAAAACATAATTGGAAACTGAGATAAAGGAGAAGGAGTAGTTATAAAACACCTTGGGGCAGGTTTTCCCAAACTGTTCAAAGTTACGGCACCCTTTCGGGATTTAAAATTGTCTCGTGGAACCACAATAATAGGGAGATTTCGTTTGCTTCCATACGTACGATTTGAAGCAACTGCGCATGCTCACGCTTATTTTAGTTGCTATGTATCTTTATGCTATGTTGGCGTGAAGTAGCACAGGTGTAGATAGATAGCAAAGTAGATAGATAATGTATAAATAGTCATCAGATCTCCTTTACTGAAATTGAGATAACTGAACTCTGACCGCTCCTTTACTGAAACTGGAAATGGAGATAAAAGAAATGGAGTAAATATCAAACATCTAAGGGCAGGTTTTCCCAAACTTTTCTAAGTTATGGCACCTTTTCGGGATTTAAAATTGTCTCGAGGTACCACAATAATATATTATTTAAGATGGGATGTGGGATAATGTTTGATATAAGTATATGCGCCATTATTTTTGAAAATGGAATAATTCCATTAGGAAGGTGGTATAAGTAAGGCTAAAGCTAAGGCTTTTAAGGGTAAGCGTTTGAATTACTATAAAAATTTCGTCAAATATTAATTTGGTTGCTGTTTTTAAGACTATAATTTGATTAAACATCAAAAATGCGACAATGATTATTAAAATCGTAAATAAATGCATAAACTAAACTTATTCTAACTGAACTTATTCCGCTTTCAAGCATAACGGCTCGTATAATGTATACTTCATGTATGTAGGACTAAGAAAGAGAAACTATAGTAATTGGTGAAGAGAAAATAAGCGTAGTTAATACAACTCATACTAAAAATTATCTCAAGTACATCGCTAAAAAAATTTAAACATAATTTTAATATTAAAAATAATGTATAATATTTTAGGCATTTAAATATAAGAGAAAATATAAAAAAATTACCATCCGCGTTTAAAGACATTGTGAATTCATTTACTGCTTGTAATACGTAACTTTTGCAGCATAACGTAACTTTTCAAATTAGTGAATAAAACCTGATTCAAATGCTCGCTTTGCTTTCTTTCTTTCTTTTTTTAACATGAATTTTACAGCAATGTCTGCTGCTCATAATAGCAACTGCCAAAAACTGTTAACTGACTTAATGATTGATAAATTCTAAACACTGACTTCATAATAGTTAACTCACTTAATGATTGATATATTCAAAATAACAACAGTAAAAATGAACCATGAGATAAAGTATAGTTCGGTCACCAGGAGTTGGCACTTGGATCCGCATTCCTCGCGTGGTATCCGATGGTATTATTTCGCTATTTTTGAGAGAATGATGTGAACAATCCTGAAAAAGGTTGCTATTTGGCAATCGCATGACAAAAATATTTGTTTATCATTCTTTGTGTGCATTATTTTAACACTAAATATTTCATAAATTTGATGATATTTCTATCTTTTGAGTGAATAGTTTGTCCTTTTTGAGACATTTTGCTGCAATATATTTAATTAGCTAGAGTAACAAAAGATAAAACAGCAAAGGATAAAGTGAAGTAAATGATGGAAAAATAATTCACTTTTTGTGTTTGAAGCGCATTAAGGGTTGTCTCAATTTCAAGAGCGGAGGCGTTTCTCCTCTTACTCCCTCGTGAAATGAATTCTTCGTCCGAGGAGGTAGACCCAAGTGCCAACTCGGGATGAGCGAACTATAGTTCAGAATTATATCTATCGTAACTCTGAATTTTTTATGTTTTTGCTTATAAATCCTCATTAAAAAGACTTACTTTGCAGGCAACTTCCAACACTGGAATGGAACAACAAAATAGTACACATTCTCACCATTCCAATGAAACAAACGACATTCCAACCAATGAAACAGATCCTTCAAGAAACAACATTGTTAATTTATTTTTTAATACTTCAAATAATAGTTCATCTACAGACACTTTAAATAATCAAGACGTTATTGAAAGTAACCAAACAACGTCCAACGACAGTAGTTCTCAAAACGTCCCTGCGAAAAATGGTAGGTGTTTAGAGGCTGACATTCAAGTTTGCAGTGATTATTCCAAACGAAGACTGTTGCGGATCCAATCTTGTTGTTTGTCAGAAAATAGAGAAGATTTGGCCTGCAGAAGCTTCACGCCGAAGCGATGCAAAAAGATGCAAACTGTCATCAAGTGTTGCATCAAAACCACCATTTCTGATACGACGACTGCTGCCAGTGCAGATGAATTCGAGACAGCCACTACCACAGAAGCGCTTGAACAGGCAGAAACATCCACGGATTCTGAAAATAGCATACGGACTGGAGCGAGCATGTGACAAAATGCTCCCTGACAGCCCGAGTCGGGACCGCTTAACGATCCCGATTCTCAAAGACCGTCTGAATCAAACATGTGAGAAAATGCTCCATGACAAAACGAGTCAGGGCCTGCTAACGGTCCCGATTCTCAAAGGCCGTCTGAATCAAACATGTGAGAAAATGCTCCATGACAAAACGAGTCAGGGCCTGCTAACGGTCCCAATTCTCAAAGGCCGTCTGAATCAAACATGTGAGAAAATGCTCCATGACAAAACGAGTCAGGTCCTGCTAACGGTCCAAATTCTCAATCAGAATCGAACTTGTAAGAAAATCCTCCCTGACACCAATATTAGAAAATTAGTTTTTGTCATAGTGCATAAAGAAAGACAGTTCTGGAATGAAGTATTTGGAAATTGTTCTGGCGATTTTTTCATATAAAACAATTCAACTACAATTCAACCCTCTGAACTATACCTTCAAATGATTTGAACAATTGGCAGCAACTGTTTCATTAGATTTTTGAAAATGTTTTTGTTTAACTTAAACAGTTGTTTAACTTATTAGCATTTGAAGACAGATTATTTTTTAAAACTTTACAATGGTGATAATACCATGTTCATTATTTGAATTATCAAAACATTTATATCCTCTCATAATATATTCATTGTAAAAATAATACTAATATGGATATGCAGCAGTTATGTAGAGGTTCTTTTTATTTAATCAAATGTGTTAGTTGACAGAAAAAAATATTCATTCAGTTAAAATATAACCGTATTACCATGTTTTGAATATCAGCGTTTTTGAGTATCTACGCAATATAAGTTAGAATTATTTATGTAATAAACTACTAATAAAAAATTATATTTTTACATTAGATTCTGTAATACTAAACTTGCTATTTAACACATACTTAAAACTAACCTTCATTTTAGTGAAATTGTAATTTAAGAATTTTACAACTAAATATCAACTAATGTAACTTTAAATGCAATGACAGTTTTGGTAATGTAATAGCTGCGGCAATCAATTTCAAATTGAAGAAAAACAATCTTTTGGATTACGTAACAAAACATAACGGGAATAAAATAAAGCCTAAAATAAAAGTTTTATCTATTTTTTTTTTAAGAAACCGAACTATTTGACAAATACTTCGTATTTCCTAGAATGTTAGAAAATCTTCAAGGAATGTTGTAAATGAAAACGACGAACGAAATCTGAAAGGAGGTTCTTTGTTTGATGGCTTTTGCACTCCAATGAAGGTATTTCTAAAATTGGAAATAAATCCAGAACAAACACAGGTGGGGAATCATATATCCAAGCAAACTAAACACACATATAAACTTATGTGAGAGATGAGTAGTGATTGAAAAATAAAACTTTTCCTCGACTATTTTAATAAAAATATAAGTAAGATATTTTAAGTTGTTCTAATTTTGATTTGAAAAGTATATGACGGCTTAAAAATCTCAAAATTCAAAGAGAGTGAAGATTAAAGTAATGGAATATAAAGCATATACTTAATTTTATCAGATTTTTGTTTGTGTCAATGAAAAAATATATTTCAATGTAGCTAATACAAAGTATTATTTATTAACTAAAATTTAACTATAATAAGTTCAGTAAATATTAGTGTGTGTTCATTTCAATACCCGCGTGCTTCATTTTTAAAGTATCATATATAATAAATTTTTAAAAAAAATGATAAGTCTGTATGTTTAGATGTAAAAATTGTCTTTAACATTTATTAAAAAAAAACTATGTATGTTCGTGTCAATGTAATAATGTAATAATGTTATAATGTGTTATGTTATTATGTTTAACTGTCTTTCTACAGAAAGATTTTCAATTTTATTTAATGTAATTTTTTTTAAATTCTGGATTTTTGTAAAATATAGAAAATCAACATTATTATACACTGATGTATTGATATCAATATATAATAGGTAACACTATATTGATAATATGATGAAAAATAATTCAAACGTGCAGTGCAAAAGGTATGATTTGTTTTAAAACTAAGTTTATTTCTCAATTATGAAGTTCCCAAATGAAATATCAGATAAGTTTGGGGACTGATGAAATAAGAAATAAAATTTTGAGAAAATTGTGACTACCTTTGTAAATATTGAATGTATACAATATTTTATTTGTTAGAATAACTTTGTAAAAGCAAATATGATAGTTAAATAATAAATTTTTATTATGATTCGTAAGGTATGTTTATTTTATGTAGAAGTTCTGAATGGTTATAGGTAGGTGCCAACATTCCGGAATAATTTTTATTGCTGAAGAGTATTGTTTTAGTTTTATTACTATCTTAAAAATCAGAACATCATATCAGGGAGGCCAAATGCTCCACTTTCTTCAAAAGTTTCTATAAATTGGTAACAAATTTAATAGTAAAATTTCCAGAATAAGGGACATTTCTGTCGAATCTCACTACGAAATGACGACACCAAGTATGAATTTTTTTAATCAGGATTTGTATGTTTGATATGGTTGTGGTGAAAAATAATTTAAAATCAAATTAACTAAAGCAAAAAATTGCTTAAACCTTTCAGAATAAAGGACATTTTCGTCAACTCTCTAAAAGTCTCCCCACGAGATGACAACAAAAAAAGTGAATTTTTTTCATGAGAGGATTTGTATGTTTGACATGTTGTGGTGGAAAAAAAATTTAAAATCAAACTTACTGAAATAAAAATAAGTTAAACCTTCCAGAATAAGGGACATTCTCGTCAACTCTCTAAAAGTCTCACCACGTGATGACAACAACAAAAGTGATTTTTATTTGTATTTTCAGGGTTTGTATGTTTGACATGTCGTGGTGGAAATATAATTTAACATCAAATTTACCGAAGTAAAAATAACTTAAACCTTCCGAAATAAGGGATATTTTCGTCAACTCTCTAAAAGTATCACCACGAGATAACAACAACAAAAGTGATTTTTATTTTTATTTTCAGGATTTGTATGTTTGGCATATCGCGATGGAAAAATAATTTAAAATCAAATTTACTAAAGCAAAAATAACTTAAACCTTCCAGAATAAGGGACACTTTCGTCAATTCTCTAAAAGTCTCACCATGAGATGATAACACAAAAGTGCATTTTTATTTATATTCAGGATATGCATGTTTGACGTGTGGTGGTGGAAAAATAATTTAAAATCAAATTTACTAAAGCAAAAATAACTTAAACCTTCCAGAATAAGGGACATTTTCGTCAACTCTCTAAAAGTCTCACCATGAGATGATAACACAAAAGTGCATTTTTATTTATATTCAGGATATGCATGTTTGACGCGTGGTGGTGGAAAAATAATTTAAAATCAAATTTACTAAAGCAAAAATAACTTAAACCTTCCAGAATAAGGGACATTTTCGTCAACTCTCTAAAAGTCTCACCATGAGATGATAACACAAAAGTGCATTTTTATTTATATTCAGGATATGCATGTTTGACGCGTGGTGGTGGAAAAATAATTTAAAATCAAATTTACTAAAGCAAAAATAACTTAAACCTTCCAGAATAAGGGACATTTTCGTCAACTCTCTAAAAGTCTCACCATGAGATGATAACACAAAAGTGCATTTTTATTTATATTCAGGATATGCATGTTTGACGCGTGGTGGTGGAAAAATAATTTAAAATCAAATTTACTAAAGCAAAAATAACTTAAACCTTCCAGAATAAGGGACATTTTCGTCAACTCTCTAAAAGTCTCACCATGAGATGATAACACAAAAGTGCATTTTTATTTATATTCAGGATATGCATGTTTGACGCGTGGTGGTGGAAAAATAATTTAAAATCAAATTTACTAAAGCAAAAATAACTTAAACCTTCCAGAATAAGGGACATTTTCGTCAACTCTCTAAAAGTCTCACCATGAGATGATAACACAAAAGTGCATTTTTATTTATATTCAGGATATGCATGTTTGACGCGTGGTGGTGGAAAAATAATTTAAAATCAAATTTACTAAAGCAAAAATAACTTAAACCTTCCAGAATAAGGGACATTTTCGTCAACTCTCTAAAAGTCTCACCATGAGATGATAACACAAAAGTGCATTTTTATTTATATTCAGGATATGCATGTTTGACGTGTGGTGGTGGAAAAATAATTTAAAATCAAATTTACTAAAGCAAAAATAACTTAAACCTTCCAGAATGAGGGACATTTTCGTTAATTCTCTAAAAGTCTCACCACGAGATGATAACAACAAAAGTGAATGTTTTATTATTATCAGGATTTGTAAGTTTGATGTTTCGTGGTGGAAAAATAATTTAAAATAAAATTTACTAAAGTGAAAATAACTTTAAGTTCGTCTATCGCTAGTTATTTTTTTCTATACAAAGCGGAGCAAGTTTGTGCTTTAAGTGACTGTTGAGAATTAGTGGTAGTCATCTGAAGCAATTTCTTTTTAAAACAAACATATCCTTTTTTTAAAAAAAAAAAAATATTAAAATATAAGAATTTAAGCACTCGTCTGTATGACCTTATATGAATCGGCTTAAATTATTTGGGTTCAGTGGTGAACTAAACTCTTTTAACTTATTAAAATATAAATATATTACTTTTGTTATCAATTGGAAAAATATATTCTCAAACTACGAAATATCCGTACTAGTTCTCTGGTGAAATGTAATGTTTTTATCTCTACCAGCACTTAAAATCACTACTTTATATCCAGATCTTTCTATACATAATAAAATTTTTTGTGTGTCTCTTAGTATTAATATTTGTTATATCCGATATGATATTAATTTATTTGTTGATATTATTATATTTATTCGATATTTTAATATCTGCTGAGGAAAAAAAATTTCATAAATCTCTTGTCACTATTTCTGATGACATTCATTTTTTACAAATTGTTCTGCTATTAAACAAGAACCAAAATTGTAAAATTCGTAATAATTTAGTTGAGATACAAACTAAACAAACAATGAGAAATAATGACTTTATTAAAAAGCGAAACATATGAAAATCTAAATTTATAAAGAACCTATATGCTTATATGCATGCATAAACACTTGCCTGCTCCTTTAATGATTACACGTAAAAAACAAAAAATAAATATGTGACCTATATGTGTCACATCATAAACTGAAATGTATTAGCGCCTTTTTCCAACCACTCCATACGTAGCAGAGAAGTGGAGACACTCAGTATCCATTCGAGTGGATTTTGAAAAATCCTGGTTAAGAATATATTACTAAAAAGTATTGCTTGTAGAGAGAAACCGATGGCAGTTTAGAAATCAGCTATGCAAAAAAATCTAAAATCCGATCACGTTCCCCAGTCTAAATACTCTACAAAAAACTGCTTAATCTATATTTATACACATATATTCCACCCAAAGAATGAGAAACAATTCTTTTTATTATCTTGTTGTTATCACAAAAGCCCATTCCCTGGAGTAACAAACAAATGGAAATTAATAACTACCGAAAGCCACCATATTAATTCTTATATAGTAAATGGAAGATTGCAGTTGAATATAGAATTCGTATTCTTATGTGAATAAAGAATTAATTTTCTTTGAGAGTTTGCTGAGCATTCGATAAAATATTTATTTACAAACATTTTATCTATAATTCGGATTTCTGCGATTACGTATTCTTGATTCTCGGTAAAACTGCAATTTGTTATATATTTCGATATATTATTTCGATAACAAGATTCCCCAACCCTAATCTATTAATTCAGTCAATCTGAAGGTTTTCAAATTTATTCCTATAATATTATACTTATAAATTTTGGTTTGTTTTTACGATTGCAATATTATTCTTGTTAAATATGGTTTATGGATGTTTCGTCGACTTTTAATGATATATTAAAGAAGTTAAAATAATTCATAAATACATGAAAATAATACATTAAAACATAAACTTAGCTACTGCTACAAAACGTTTTTCAAAAAACCGTAGAAAGTTGACTGCCCTGAAGCTAAGTTTATTTTTTAATGTATTATTTTTTATTTATTTAAATTTATTTTGCTCACCACTGCATATAAATGATTTAAAAGTTTATATTCAACGCCACTTAGTTACAGTTTTTTTCGTAAGGGCTATTTAGGCCTCAGATGCCCAGTTCTAAAACAACGAACGAACGAACAGATTTTTTCGTGGTGAGGCAGCCACTGGCGACTAAAAATGTGAAAATTTGTACCTTATAAAAACTCAAATCTATTAAAAGAGGTTCAAATTAGCAATTTTTTCTAGAATATTTCGTTCAGTTTCTTTTCAAAGTAAATGTAAAGATCGTGTTTGTTTTAAATTTGAATAATTTACAAACGGGTTTTAATTAGTTAAGCGTGTTTAGACGTGTATTTGTTACCGTGAATGACCGAAGTCAAGAGGGTGTGGACTTTCACCGGAGAATGTCAGCAATCGCATTGGTGAATGTCCGAAATATTTGTTATATCCGCAGAGATGCCAACATGTTCCGGACAGCAAATATGTATTTTAAAGTGGTAGTTTATCAATTGTGATTATTGGTTTAATAAATTCAATTTCGTAGATTTTTATCCACCACTATTTCTAAATAGTTCGTAGGCTCATATAATTAACCACTTAACAACATATGTTGTGCTATACCTTTTAAAAAGCAGGCAATAATAGTCAAATAGTTGCAGAATTTACTTTGTAGTTACTTTCCGTTTTTTTTAAAATTACTTTGGCGTGTCCGGACAACGCCTCCTAAAACTGAAAGCCTCCACACGGTTTTTTATACGTAATCCGATCAGACCACTATGAAGGTAAACCAGTTTACGAAAAGGCCCTTTAACCGGTAAACGCCCAGCGTCATATATTTAGGACAGTTCCTTTTTTCAAAGACATTCATTGTGGTGGGAAACTTTTTTCACCAGTTAGTTCAAAGTATAACTAAATAGTTTTATTTTGAACAAAGTAATGGTGAATTAAATAAATCAAACAATTATAACTCCGCCCACAAATAAACTGCTAAAGAATTACTTTGATTACCAGTTTTATCTTTTTACCCTGATTGATAC